CCGCTGTGCCAGAGCTGCCACAGCTGCACCTACCTGCAGCCTCCGCCAGCTGTGGATGGCCCCGCACGTGACCCGGTGGCACCCCGGGCTGAAAGACCCCGCGCCCTGAGATACCTGCGTGCCCGGGCTCGGCCGGCTGGCTGTGTCACCGGGGCGGCCGGCGGTGGCGAGCAGGGGGCTCAGCGTGCCGGCCGGGACTGGCATCGGCGCCGCACAAAGGGCCCTTGTGCTGCCCGCGCTTGCGGGGGAATCTGCTGGGAAGGGACATTTTTCTTCTTCCCCCGATGCCCTTTATTTGCTCAGAAATTCATGTGACCGGGCAGGCGGGGGGAGCCTGGCTGGCCGCTCGGCGCGGCAGATCCGCCAGGCTCTTTGCGGCAGCGCCTCGGAGAGAGGGGCCCCGTTTGTGGACCCCTGCGCTGCGGGAGAGGGGTGAGCCTTGGGCACAGGCGAGTGTGGTGGGAGGGATGTTTCTAAATGGGGGTGTCCCGGATGCCCCCGCGATGCCCATCTGTGTCCCCCAGGTGGAGGATGGCGGGAAGGCAGCCCTGTCCCGCAAGCTGCAGCCGGGCGACGAGCTGGTGAACATCAGCGGGACGCCGCTCTACGGCTCACGCCAGGAGGCCCTCATCCTCATCAAGGGCTCCTACCGCACCCTCAAGATGATCGTCCGCAGGTCAGCAGGGCTGCGGGCGGCTGCTGGGGGGACGTTGCCCTCCGTGCATGAGTAACTGGCATCGGGCGCTGACAGAGAGCGCGGGTCCCGGCTGCTGTTGGGGAGCGCAGGGGCTGTTTACAACCGGGTCCCCTTCTACCCAGCGGGGACACGGGGAAGCCGCAGCACCCCGTGCACTGTGGCACTCGACTGCTGTGCCCTGGGCTCGGGCAGGAGGTGGGTACAGGTGCCCCAAGGCCCATAGCGGTGTCGGTGTCAGGAGGCAGAGCCGCAGGCTCCCGTCCCTCTTGCGACGCCTGGGCGTTAGCTCTGGGCTCGCTCGCTCCTCTCCCTTCCTGCCGCCTCCCGGCG